GGGCGCCGCGCACCGGCTGCGGCGCAAGGGCAACTACGCGGATCGGGGGGGCGCCGGCGCCCCCGTCTACTTGGCCGCCGTCATGGAGTACCTGACGGCCGAGATCCTGGAGCTGGCGGGCAACGCGGCCCGCGACAACAAGAAGACGCGCATCATCCCGCGCCACCTCCAGCTGGCCGTCCGCAACGACGAGGAGCTCAACAAGCTGCTCGGGGGCGTCACCATCGCGCAGGGCGGCGTCCTGCCCAACATCCAGGCTGTGCTGCTGCCCAAGAAGACCGAGAGCCACAAAGCCAAGGGCAAGTAACATTTCTGCGAAGACCGGCCAGTTTAATCAGCGGGCCCTAAGCTTTTCTTTTTGCTTTTGAATCCAAAGGCTCTTTTAAGAGCCACCCACTGTTTCAGAAAAAGAGCTGGAAGCGGTTTGGGGCTTGCAGAGCAAGGTGCTTGGTGCTAGGCTCGCAGCAGCGTTCCAACCTGGAAACGCGTTTTGACTTAAATCCTTACAAATTATGGTTGCAATGGTTTATGCAGAAGTCTGGAGACTTGCCAGCCCCTGTGCCTCCTGCTTTGCTGCGCTGCACACAACTGTTCGGTCTAACGCAGCTGAGAACCTCCCTTCACCGGTGAGATCCCCAAAAACGGGGGTCCCTGAAGGTGGAGGAGGCACCGGTGAGTCCGTTCGCAAAGTGTTTCCCCATTCCTCAGTCCCAGGACACGCAAATCAGCAAAGGGAAACTGCGCCGATCCTTGCGTTCCCCAAAACCACACTGGTACCTTAGTTCCAGTCCCGCTTTTCCCTAAACAGCGGATGGCTGGCCAAAAAAAACATCTCCAAAACCACAGTAGAGCCCAGAAATAACATTTCTGTTTCCCCATGAGCGGCATTTAACGCCACGACGTTCGGCAGTTGCTGGTTGTGGTTAACGCTCATGCTGCGGGAAAAGCACCAATAAATCCCCCGGGATTTAAGGAAGTTTCAGGCTGGCTCAAGCTGCTAACATGGGCCAAAGCGTTGCCCTGGGACCTGAGCTATCCCCTCGGAAGAGGGAATCCGAGCCCAAATCCTGCCAAGCTGCACCAAGGAAATACCCTGAAGGCAACAAGTCAGCACGTCAGGCGCTGGCAGGCTGCTCTCTGCCAAGCAAAACCTTTAAAAATAGTTGAATATTCCTCCAATGAGCACAGAAATCCCATTTCTTCCAAAAGGAATTGCCCACCTCTTGCTCCTTCCTCTCCGGGAGCCCCCCCTCGCACAAGGCAACGCCGAAACCTGTAGTGGGACGATCAGGACAAGCACCCTGGCCAGGAACAGCATCATCATCCCCAAAAAGCAGGTTATTAAGCACCCTTAAAAGGCAGGGAGAGCATTGCCTGGAAACGCACATCCTGCAGAAAAGGAAGTTATTTCTGTTTGCTAAATTAATCTTCCCGCAGGCAGCTCCCAAGAGCGGT